TTTTTTACTTTTATTTTTAATTTAGTATAATTTCTATTCAGTATTCTTACAAAAGATTCTGGATTAATTAATTCCATTTCTTAATTATGATTTTCAAATGTTCTGAAACCTGCTGTGGCTTGTCATACAATAGATACAGTTTGGACTGCCATCACACATAAATAAAAAACATTAAGTAGGATTTTTTTTTGCCATAAAATAAAGCCTCAAAATCTAGATAAATATTTCTCAGTATCCTTGAAATAATGCTTAGTTTTTCAATATAAAGTTAAATGAAGATTGTATTTCCCTTGGAATTATTATGTACATTTACTTCTATCATTGGACAGTTTTTTGAAATCTTTTTCTATATCACTGGGTAATATTTTATTACGTAATTATCATATTGGTTTGTGGTTTTTCATTATGAAAGCACTGTAATCTTTGCATATAGTTTGAGATTTTCTAATCATTTCCTTAGTGAATAATCCTAGAAATGATGTTACTTGTTCAACATGTAACATAACCTTTTTTTAATGCTTTTATATACGTTCAGATTACTTCCTAATTTATGAAAAAGAGTTTTAATATACTTGACTCAAAATTGATTATATTTTGTTTTCTCCCTGTGTAGTTTGGAAGAACTTGCCTAGAAAGTTGTTATCAGTGAAGATAATCAGTATATTAGAGGCTTTCTGCTTATAGAGATACCTATTTTACATTTTCATGTATTTCTACCGTGATTTTACCTACACATTAAGGTCTTGGATTTAGGAGTAAATGAGGCAAAGAATCTGTAGCCTCCTACAGTGTCAGCTGATCCTCAGCTAGTGCATTTTAAGCACTCACTTATGTTAGTCCTGTGCTAAAATGAACGAATAGGCCTCAATAAGATATTACTGTTTTGCGGAATTTGATTCCTTACATTTGATTATCATTGTATTTGTCCCACTCTCCCCTTCACAGGAAATTTAAATAAACTTAATTATTAATTTACATATTTTAAACACTTTCCCTAATTCCCTCTTAATGCTCTTTTATGTTTTTTTGAGCCAGGGTCTTGCTGTCTAGCCCAGGACAGCCTCGAACTTGTTATCCTACTGCCTCAGCATCCTGAGTGCTGTCACCACACTTGACTTCCCCTGCTTTTCTTCTAGAGCTGTTTTTTTTTTTCAAGTCATTTTTGATAATTGAAAACTTGCTTTTGTTTGTGAAAAGTTAAGAGGTCCCCCTGGTGGAACATTTAGGAAGTACAGATATTTTCATGAATATCCATATTGGTTATGTTAAAGTAGCATTGCATAATTTTTCTATGGAATGGTGATTGACCTTTGACACAAAGAACATATTTAAGATTTGTGAAGAAAAACCATAGGAAAGTAAGTAGCTGCAACTGTGCCATGCTGTGGGTCCAGAACTTTTATACCCTGGCTTGGAATCCTAATTACTGTTACCAAATTAAATATTTTAAGAAGTAGGATTGGGAAGGGTTCAGAATAATTACAATTTATCAAATACAATTTTTTGGTACTCATATTACCTTTAATTTTACAATGTTCCAACAAACTAAGTGAAAACAGACCCACTTTATGACGAAACTAAAGCTTAGAGGGTTTCATTGATGAGGCAGCAGCTAGTATGTGATCAGACTGGATAGAATCAAAGTACTTGCTCTTCTGAATGTACTGTTCTGCCTCTTTGAGGGAAAGACTGGGTTCATAACCCCTACCTCAATTATTGAGTGAACAAGGGAATGGCAGAGTTACCAGCCAATCCAAAGAGTTGGTCAGAGTTAGTGCATCTACATAGATTACATGCCTTCTCTTTTTCCTAGAGCCAGGATCCCAAGTCTGCTTGGGATTGATTCTTAAAAATCCATGTTTTTTCTCTTATTCCTGTAATTGAAAAATCATCAGGATCTTATTGAGTAATCAATAACTGAATGAAATTCAGTATTATTTCTCTGCTATATATTAAAAGTTGGTATCTGGTGTATTGCATATGTCATCTCATAACTAACCATAATATTCTCTAACTAAAAGCCACATAGCTGTTGCTATCTTATAGCTTGTGTGTTTTTCATGAACTAACCACATTGGGTCTTTAATTCTTCTTGTATTAGTTTAATACACTGTGTATTTACTCATACACTGCTCCAAATATACCCCTTATTTTCAAAAGAACTGGTCAAAATGTATATTTAAAAACCCTTGTCAGATGTTTTGAATTTGGGTAACATTTTCAAAGTTCAAAAAATAATACTTTTTTTCTGCAAAAGACTAACTCATTAAATAAAGCAACATAGCTTTGATAAGGAGGGTAAAGAGCAGTGTATAAGAAGGTCAAGCAGGTAACCTACCATTATCTTTACTATCTTAGAAATCCTGATGGTAGTTTCACAGAAATCGTGCTGCTTAGCAAGATTAACTCTGCTTTGTGAAACTGCCTTTTTTTGTTGCGAATTTGATATATTAGAATAAGTTACCATTTTCATGTTAGGAAATAAAGTATGTTCATCAGATGACAATAATTTCCAGTGCTGTTGAAGAATCTGTTGGTAAAATGCAATACTCACTTCTTTTGAAATTGTTTTATAAAGAGATTTTCAATTTTATTTTTTTCCATAAAACTAGAAATGCATTTTTTACACTTCAAAAAATATACAAAGACTTACTTTGTAGTGGACTGTGTATTCTGTGAGCACAGGGAATTTTGATTATTTTGTGTAGTGCTGCCCTGATAATAGTACCTGGCACATCGTGGACTATTGGTAAATATCTGTTGAATGGAAAAATATTTAAGAATGTTGTAATTGATTATTTGAAATATGTTTAAAAAATTGGTTAGTGGCTGTGGTGGAGCTCAGTGGTAATGTTTGTTTAGTATGTGTGAGGCCCTGGATTTGATCCCAGCATCATAAAAAAAAAAAAAAGGAATAAGGATGAATAGATATACTCTAATATTAGTGCTCATTAATTAGGAGTTGATTAAAGAATAGAACAAACAGATAATGAGATACTCACTTGCTGAAAAATATTAGGGTTTCCAATATGTACAGACATTGAGATAGTGCTTTGTTGCATGATGAGAAGCAAGTAGAATAATATTATATATAATATGATGCCACTTTTAATATATCCACTATACATAGCAATTCTTAAGCCTTTTGGTTTCCTGTAATTATTGGGGACCTCAAATGGCTTTTGTTATGAGAGATATACATAAATATGTGTGTGTATATTCTATACTTATTCTAATAGGGTAAATACATGTGTATTTTATCATACTAGGAATTAAAACTGAAGAAATTTAAATTATTCATTTAGGAAAATAACCAACTAGTTCATGGTAACATGATACTTTTTATGAAAAATAATTGTTTTCCAAAATACAGATTATGGAGTAGTGTTGTTTTCCATTTTGCAAATCTCCTTAATGCATAGCTTAATAAAAGGTGTCTGGATTCCCTTCTGCATTTAGTCAGTTGTGATGTGGTTTTGGTTAAAATAAATCAAGAAAAATTCAGCCTCCCATGGATATGTAGTCAAAACTGGCAAATATTTTAGTTGCCTTTTCTGATAATTGACATGACACCAGTCCTTTTCAGTAGTGGTTTCTTAAAGGCAGTTGCAGTTTGGAAACTGAATTTATGTCAGTGAACTTCTTACACTCTTCTTAGTCCTGTGGTCTAATTTGCACGTTGGATAGATCTTTACTTTGCATGTTATGATTATGTATAACTTAAAGTGTTGGTTAATTGAAAAATAATGGCTCACTGAGTTACTTAGATCTTCCAATTGTTACATTTCATTATATCATCAAAAAGTCACTTCTGTTAATATCACACCAATCTCATTAGAAAACTCTTTTAAGTACTGTGAACCTATCATGGTAACAGTGATGAATTCAAGTGTCCTTTTTTGCAGTGTTGGGGTTTGAACTCAGGGCCTTGGGTTTGTTAGGCAAGTGCTCTATCACTTGAGCCATGCCCCCAACCTTTTCTACTTATTTTGCAGATAGGTCTCTCGAGCTTTTTGCCTGAGGCCGGCCTTGGACCATGATCCTACTGCTGCCTCCCATGTAGCTGGGATAACAGGTATGCACCACCATGCCTGGCTTGTTCTTTGAGATGGGGGTCTTGCTAACTTTTTGTCTGGACTGGCCTCAAACCATGACTTTCTATCTCCATCTCCCAAGTAGCTAGGGATTATAGGTGGGAGCCACCACACCCGGCCAATTCTCAAGTTTTTCTGAATTCTCCTTTTCCCTTGAATTTGTCATGAGTTACAGTCAGATACTTTTGTGTTGATGGACTTAATGTATTCACTTGTTGAGAAAAATGAAACATCCAAGACTGAATAGTTTGCCATTTGTTCATCTGAAAATAGTGTTCCATTTTAAAAAGTGATTAATTCACTCATCACAGAAAAATACTAAAAAACTCTCAGGTTTGGGCATGGTGGCACACGCCTAAAATCTCAGCTACTCGGGGCAGACACAGGAGGATCAAGGTCAACCTGTGCAAAAGTTAGCGAGACCCTATCTCAAAAATCAGCCAGCGTGATGGGGCATGCCTGTAGTACCAGCTATGTGGGAGGCAGAGGTAGGAGGATCATGATTTGAGGCCAGCCAGGGGGAAAGTTAGCAGGAGACCCCATCTGGAAATCAAACTAAAAGCTAAAGGACTGGGGGTGTGGACCAAATGATAGAGTCTTTGCCTAACAAGCATGAGGCCCTTAGTTCAACTCCCAATACCGCCAAAAAACAAAAGGAAAAAAAACAAACTACTTCCTAAATCTAGAAATACAATAATATAAAAACATAACAAAATATCAACAGTGGTTATATTAGAATGAGAAAATGGTATCTTTTTTTCCCTCTTTCTATTTTTCTGTAATGAATCATAAATTCTTATGTTGGTTATATAGTTAAAATATTGACTGTATTATTTACAGGAAACTTACACAGTGTGAATTGAATATGGATTACTGAGATTAGTTATTTTCTCTATTTTTTATTAGGATTTAGGTCCTGAATATGAAGATATATTTAACACCTCATTGCAGTGGATTTTAGAAAATGGGAAAGATGTTGGAATAAGGTAATGGATTTGATTTCCACCTTGACTGTTTTGTACTGTAAAAGTGTTTTTTGATTTTAAATTTTTACCTTAATTATTTTTAAATAGGTGTGTTGGTTATGGGCCCGAGGAAGAGTTGACACATATAACTGATGTGCTGTTTTTACAATCCACGAGACCGCAGATGTCTTTCTGGTGTCGTTTTCGACGTGCTTTTATTACTGTAGCTCACAGGTTGTTATTGCTGTGCTTAGGTAAGTTGTTAGGGTAAAAGAGGCATCGCATGGCAGCTCAGAATTTTTGTGCGTCTGAATTCCATTAATGCTGAAGTTGAGAATTCACTTACCTTCTGTGACAGATGTCATCTGAGTCATTCTACAAGTCTTCACTTGTCCAAATACCTAACACAAACAACTAATGGAGAAAGGATTTATTTTGGCTCAAGATTTCAATTCATCATGACAACCAAGGCTTGGCAGAACAGAACAGTCCATATCATGGTGGCCAGGAGACAGAGAGAAATGGATAGGAATTGTCCTGGGACAAATACCCTCAAGGACCTACCTCTGTGACCTAATTCCTCCAGTTTAGTATCACCTCCTAATGTTATAGTAACCTCCCAAAATAGTGCCCCCAGTTGGTAACCTGTGCTTTAACACATACGAGCCTGTGGGGGGACATTTCATATTGAAACCAAAAGAAAGTTGAGTGTTCTTTTAAAAATAACATCAGAATCAGACTAAGGGGTTAGAAAGCAGTCATACAAGGAGAGGTAAGAATAAAACTTTGTCATAAGAATGTCACAGAATGATTAAGTATATTTACTGTACTTATGGAAATCTAGTTTAGGAAATATAACTGGAAAATACAAAAGCTTAGCTTTTAAATAAAACATAAAGTAAGCTGCATAAAATTACTAGTTTAAGAGTGTCTTTTTATGAGAATTAAAGTTTTTAGGTTACTAGAGTTTAGGATTTTTGATTGATAATAGGAAATTAGGAAATACTTATTCACTGCTTTTTTCTTTATCCTTTAAAAGTAATTCACTCAAAGTAAGATTTTGTGAAGGTAGTTCACTTTTCTAGTAGTTTAAAGCTGCAAGGGAGAAAAGTCTGTAAAATAATTATTTTGCTTTTAAATAGCAGTTAGAATTTAAATGTTCATTTGTCAGTGTGAAGAAAGAAAAACTTTCTAGAGAGAAGACTAAAATGTTTAATGTAAGGTTTTTATGCAGGTTTTAACTTTTTTTAATATACCTAACTCAAACTGCTGTATTGAAGACTTGTGACACTATTCCATTAGGACAGTTAAGATTATTATTGTAGAAACTGTCTGTGATGCTTTTCAGTGCCACTGACCACATTTTTTAAACCCCAACTGTATGGATATTGCAGGTATAGTGATGGTTTGTGTCGTTCTGCGTTACATGAAGTATCGCTGGACTAAAGAGGAGGAGGAAACAAGGCAGATGTATGATATGGTGGTGAAGATCATAGGTATGATGTTTGCTAAGGTCTAAGCTATTTCAAGGACAGTCGTGTGTGCTAGGCTACAGCATGACGTCCAGTGATTGATTCATTTACAAAGCTGTCTTTTTTGTTTTCAGATGTTTTACGAAGTCACAATGAAGCTTGCCAGGAAAATAAAGACTTACAGCCTTACATGCCTATTCCACATGTGCGAGATTCCCTAATACAGCCCCATGACAGGTGTGTTCAAAGCATTAGGACTTGAAGTAAGTCAGAATGGAGGTGTCTTCTGTAGGCTTGAAAATTGAGTTGTGACTCTTCTCAAGTAGACCTGTTGTAGTTATACAGACTTTTTGTTTTTGGTGGTACTAGGGTTTGAACTCAGGACCTCATGTTTGCTAGGCAGGTGCTCTACCACTTGAACCAGTCCTCAGTCCTTTTGTTGTGCTTATTTTTGAGATAGGGTCTTACTTTTTAGGATCCTGCCAGGCCCGGACTGTGCTCTTCCTACTTGTGCTTTCCACTGTGTCTGGGACAACAGGCGCACAACAGGCCCAGCTTTTTCTGTTGAGGCCGGGACTCATTAAGTTTTTTGCCTATCTTACCTGGAACTGTGATCTTCCTGATCTTATCCTCCCATGTAGGTGGGATGACAGGTGTGTACCACTGCACCCAGCTATTGGTTGAGAGGAGGGTCTCGTGAAATTTTTGCTCAGGTTGGCCTCAAACCATGGTCCTCCCGATCTCAGCCTCCTGAATAGCTAGGATTATAGGTGTGAGCCACCTGTGCCTGACTTAATGTATAAGTAGACTTTCACAAATACTTTCCCTTGTCCTTTCTTTCTTGATTCTCTTCCATTATCCTCCTGATTTTTAATAGCATAGTAGACAATTGAATTTTTAAGTCATTTTCATCCCTATGCATTCTTGGGTTTTTTTGTTGTCAGACAGAAATAGACAATAGCCAGTGGTGTTTTACCAAAGTTTAAAATACCTTTTTGTTATTGATGAAGCTTTTAAAGCCAAAATCAAAAAATAACTTTTTAAAAATGAAAGATGATGCTATATCCTAAAGCAGCTTTCTTTCTTTCTCCCTTCTCCCTCTCTCCCTCTCTTTTTCTTTCTTTCTTTTTCTCTCTCTTTTGATATTTTTATTTTATTATCTTTCTTTTTTTTGTGGTACTTGGGATTTGGACTCACAGCCTCATGCTTGCTAGATAAGCCTCTACCACTTGAACCACTTCTTCAGCCCCTGAAGCAGCATTCTTAACCCAAGCAACACATCATGATCACCACTGCAGCTTTTGGATTTAAAACAAAACAAAACAAGACAAAACATGAACGTAAGCTCATACATAACCTCTGGAGATTGAAATTCAGTAAATTTGAGGTTAAGTATGGGCATCTGAATCTTTTAAACAAAGTCTGTGAGTAGTGATAAGAACAGCCAGAGAGTGAATAGCCATTACTTTAGTTACTAACATTTCAAAATGATGACAAGCCAAGTAAAGTTGTTGTTTTGTCGCATGATAGGAAAAAAATGAAGAAAGTCTGGGACAGAGCTGTTGATTTCCTTGCTGCTAATGAATCTAGAGTGCGCACGGAAACACGAAGAATAGGTGGTGCAGATTTTCTAGTTTGGCGATGGATCCAGCCTTCTGCATCCTGTGATAAAATATTAGTAATACCGTCTAAAGTATGGCAAGGTCAAGGTATGTATTTTTAAACAAAAATATGTAAGTGATTTTCTTCTAATGTTTTAAACAGGTAATTCATGTTTAAGTGAAATAGAATCATTCAAAACTGTATGAAGGCAATGCTTCCCTTCACATTTCCATTTCTCAGAAGGAGTCAGTGTTAACTAACTTCTTGAGAAACTAATGCATATTCCTTTGAGTTTGCCTTTTTATTTTCATTTGACAAAGCAATTAGTATTGTACATCTAACTGCATTTCTTTATGTTATATAACTTGTATAACATTTATTATATGTAAGCGCTGTCATAACTTAAACTAGTTTTTCTTCCAGTTTTGCTTGCCTCCCTCCTTTTTCTCACTGAGACCCCTTGACCTCCTGCATATTTCCCCCCTTTCCGGTAACCTATTATAGTTGCCTTTTCTTAGTTTTCTTAATGTCTGTATAGTTTTAAAACATATGTGAAGTTTTGAAGATTGGCTGTCTTATGTCCAAACCTGTTGCTACAGGCTGGTGAAATGTCTCAAGTGGTAGAGCGCCTGTCTGTCACATGAGGTCCTGAGTTCAAACTCCAGCACCACTAAATAAATTCAGGGCAAACCTCTTGTTACATAGAAAAACAGAAAACAATATAAAAAAATTGTGAATAGTGAATTCTTTTTTTTTTTTTACAAAAACATGTTTATATATACATACATACTTTATATATATGTGTGTGTGTGTGTGTATATATATATATATATATATTTTTTTTTTTTGGTGGTGGTACTGGGGTTTGAACTGTGGGTCTCAACACTTGCTAGGCAGGTGCTCTGTACTGCTTGAAGCATTCTGCCAGCCCTTTTTTGTATTGGATATTTTCAAGATAGGGTCTTGTGAACTATTTGCCCAGGGCTGCCTTCAAACCTCAGTCCTCCTGATCTTTGCATCCTGAATAACTAGGAAGCTACCAATGCCTTGCTTGTTTATCAATATTTGTTAAATATGGTATTTGTGGAAAAAGTAGATAAGTTGCCTTGGAATTGCAATTTAATAAATCTAGTCAATCCCTTTTTTTCCCATTAATTAATTTTTACTTTCAAAAAGCCTGAATAATAGACTACAGTCATGGCATAAAAATGATGGCTGTAGTGTTTCCAGAGACTAATGAATTATTTCCTTTGCAGAATGCATACAGAAAGGCCTATGAAACTGAAAACAGAGAATTCCTTATTTTACTTGACCTCTTAGCAGTGCTTACCAGTTGAGCCCTCCTTGATACTTTCACTTTTGGGTTTTGGTGATGTCACTCCCCACTACCTTTGATCTTCTCTTAAAAAGTTTTTTTTCTTTTACATTTTCCTTGAACCTCTAGGTGTTTGAATTTCTTAAGGCCATCTTCACATTCTAACTTCTCTCTTTAATAATTTCATGCTGTGACTTCATGTACCATATATATGTTAACTCTCAATTTATATCTTGAACTAAATCTAGTGGTCTGATTTTGAGATTTTTGTGCCCAGCTTATCTTTGCACTCATCTTTTTTAGGAGATGGGCACCACAAACTGTAGGAGTGCAAACTATGTACTGTCTCTTCCCAAAGTAATCTCTCCCATATTTGTAGTCTAGATAAGAATACTGTTCCTCAGTTCATTCTGCCATAAACCTTGGTGTCATCCTTAATCTCGCCCTCATCCCTATTACTCACTCTTTCAAGAAGTCATGGCAGATCTTCCTAATATGTCCTGGTATATCCTTTTATCCTTAATATATCCACTTTCTGTCTGCACTATGGGCCTGTCTTATCCACATCACTATCATTTCCCTCTTGAACAACTATAGTAACTTCTAACTGACCTCCTTACATTCATTTTGCATCTGCCAAATTGATTATCCACATACAATCTATTTTTAATTGTAATTATTGTTTTAAGAAAGAGATCTTATATCTTTCCTTTTCTTAAAGCACTTGAGTGACTTTGTGTTTGCTCTTAGGACAATGTTGGAATACTTTAATATGACCTATGTGGTCTTATATAAACTTCCATAGGTTATTTTTATTCTTTGCACTCTAGTCACATTGGCTGGCTATTAGTTAAGTGAATATACCACACTCCTTCTTGTCCCAGGTGCTGTGTATAGGTTATCTCTGCATAAAATGTTCTTTATACTTCTCTTCACCTTGCTAATTTTAATTTATTCTTCAGTTCCCAGCATAAGTTTCACTTCTTTGGGAGAAATCTTTTCTCATAGTCTTGGACAAAGTGATGTTGTTGTTTATAGCTTTCAATACACTTGTTTTTTTAGGAATTATCACAATTATAATGCCTTGGATCACATTGTTTATCATCTTTCTCTCATGAAATTATAAACTGTGACTGTTTTAATTCAGTAACATCTAATGATGGAACCTAGCTCATAGTAAAAGCACACAATGAATATTTTTTGAATGAACTAAATAAATATCTGATTATCTTTTAACAAAGTGGAACAAATGGCAAATAATAAAACCAATTTGTTTTTTGTAGCATTTCACTTAGACAGAAGAAATTCACCGCCAAATAGTTTGACACCATGTTTAAAGATTCGAAATATGTTTGATCCAGTTATGTAAGTATTATCAAGTATACATGCGATTATATTTGGAATCTTTGGCTAAAAAATGTGTGGTATTCTTACAGTGCTCTGTCTGTAACTGAAAATCTGTTTTCCTTCTGCTTTTATAACTGTAGAAGTGTTACGCTTCTCCTCTTGTTAAATTTCAAGCAAAGGTTTCAAAGGCACAGTTGTGTTAAGATTCATAAGACTTTTCAAAAATCTTTGTGTTTACTGTGAATCCTCATAACAGATTAATGTTTGAGGCAAATTAATGATAGTTAATACCCTTTACTAAATGTATGATTCATTTTACAAATGACTGCCAACAGTTTTGCTTCTGTAGTTAATATATATGAAAATATGTACTTAAAATTTTTTCTTGTCTCTAATTTAAAAAAAAAAGATTCCCCTACAAAGGTATATACACTTTTCTCATTATAGATCCTATCTTTTTTTTGTCAATGTAATAAATGAGGAACTTTTTTGACCATATAATTACTACATCCAAAGAATGGCACAGGCAAAAGTTTCTGCCTTAGCATCCATGTTTCACAGATGAGTTGTAAAGGAATTGGCTTTCTAGAGATTATTGCTTAGCAGTCCAATGATATGGTAGATCAAATCCCAATTTTATTAATCCTGACAGTAGAAATTACATTACATAGAAAATACCTCTACTGCCTGTCTAATAATTTGTTGATTTCAAAATTACTGATGACATTCCAAGTAAGTGACATCAAAAAATTTGGGGAGGCGCTATCTGTGTAACAACACACACGTACACACACCCTCTGTTTTGCATAGATAAAAATAATTAACAGTGTGATGATATACCTCTATAGGGAGTTTTACCTCATGCTTAGAAAATCAATGCTAATCTAGTATTTTATTACCTTAGATGAAAATTTACAATTTAAAGTGAAGTTGCTTCTCCTTCTGCCCACCACCTGTATCTCACAAATAAGATAAATGTGTGTTACTATAATAGGAAATCTCAAAATTCTCATTATAGTGAGGTCACTGTGCAAACTACTTGTTCTGTGTCACTTTCCATTATTCTGTAAAAGGAGCTAGGAGTATAGTGTTTACTAAGAATTTTATTAATTTTAAGAATTTGAAAATATTAAAAATAAAGAATATTCAACTTTTGCAACTTTAATGAGTTAGCATTAATCTTAAAAAGAGACAAGGAAATCACTTGCAAGTATATAGGATTAACACATCTGCTGTGATTTTTGTTTCTGTTATTCTTAGGGAAATAGGGGATCAGTGGCATTTGGCAATTCAAGAAGCAATTTTAGAAAAATGCAGTGATAATGATGGCATTGTTCACATTGCAGTAGACAAAAATTCACGAGAGGTAAAGTAACTTTTAGTATTGAACTCCACATTTTGGCTTTGTTGCTATTAAACTAAGACTATTCTTTCTCTTTCTTTTTTTACATTACAGGGCTGTGTATATGTTAAATGTCTGTCTCCAGAATATGCTGGAAAGGCTTTTAAGGCATTGCATGGCTCTTGGTTTGATGGTAAGAAATTTGAGTATTGCAAAAAAATGAAAAGATAATTATAATTAAATATTAAACTATACTAGATTTTAAATTGAAGAATTTGGGGTTAGCTCTTTTTGAGTAATAATTTCAGATTATTTTGTGTTCATGTGTTTTTATAAATCAAATTAATTTTTACAAACATTAAAACTCATTTTTACAGATCTAAAATATTATTTTTATCTTACAACAGGGAAATTGGTTACAGTAAAATATTTACGACTAGATAGATATCACCATCGCTTTCCCCAAGCTCTTACTTGCAACACTCCCTTGAAGCCATCAAATAAACATATGAACTCTATGTCTCATCTTCGCCTTCGGACTGGTCTAGCCAATTCTCAAGGAGGTTCCTGAAAAGACTTTCTTCACTCCTAGGACTGTTAAATTTATAATAGGAAAATTCCTTTTTGGCTTCCTGTCTTCCTTTTTAAGTGCTTTTTGTGTGTAATATTTTTATTGATGAATACAGCTCTGTTTGAAAGTTCCAGAAATCTTAAGGTTCCAAAGGGATTTAGCAGTGAGGTAGCAATGCTGCATAGGTAGAATAATTGTTTCACTCAGTTTTTGGAGCTCAGTTAAGCCAGTGCATTTAACGTTTTGCATGTGGAACACTGACTTTATTAAGCATTTTCAGATATGGTGGTTATATGTGTGCACTAAGAAGTGTTTAGGTAACCACACAAAAGCATGGTGAGGAGGCTTCTTGTATTTCCATAATTTCTTGTGAACTAATGTGAATTTTTGTATACAGTCACCTGCATAGTTCCTTACAGGCTAATGTGGTAAAACTGTTAATTTCCCAATTTAACCTTAGGTTTCTATCACTTGTAAGAGATTCATTTGCTACAGCTGGACTATGAGAAAATTTATTTGGTTCTAATGGTTACATATATGTGTAAGTGGATGTACATGTACTTAAACTGGCTTTTGTATATATGTATAAATGCTGATGGTGGTGAAAGTCTTGTTTTGTGAGGATGTCTGCATAAGCAGTAAAGTAAGTTTTCTATTTTATTCATAATCTAATTTGTGTGTATATATACTTATGTCTATATCTGTGTGTACATGTATATATGTGTGTGTGTAGGTATACACATATACCCATACACGTATATACATATGGCTGTACTATCATAGATCAAACAGCCAAACACCTGGAAGTATTAGATACAAGTTTAAAAGATCTTTTTTATAGATTTTATATAAAAGTGTCTGAGTATGGTTTTGTGTGAAAGTTCTGGATACCAGTTGTATGGATTCAAATTTATGTGAGCAATAAAAAAAAAGCAATTGGCAGATATTGTAAACATAATTTTGTGAAAAGCTGTATTTATTATAAATATGAGGGCTGTGGCATAGTACTATTGGGATTAGGTCATTTTCCTAGTCTATTTATAATTTAATGGAATGTTAGCACCCCAGTTATATGGCAAGTATAAAGCAGGGCACATTGTTGCAGCAAAACATATTAGACAAATTATACTTGGAATTTTAGGTTATGAAAGTTTGCAATATAGTAAATGCACGAGTGACCATTGGTTTGTGCCTCAGTATTTAATTTGTTTCAGTAAAGTTACTTTATTACTGTTTCTGATTTCAGATTAAAACAGTTGCTGAGCAAGGTTTATTTGTAATTTAACAATTGGATTTTTTTTAATAACATGTTGATATATCATTGTCAGTCCAAATGAATATGTGAAACAGTTGGAATTATACCAATTCTGATTTTGTGTAAAGTTCAGTTTTCTTTTTGTGTTATCGTATATGTGTTGGATTTGCAGCATGAACTTGCACAGATAATGCACGTTTTCTAGTTAAGTAAACATGATGCACACTATTCTGTAACAAAAAACCCTATTGTGCCTTACCTGTGTGCTTTTGTGGGCACCATGTTTATGAAGAATAAAAAATGATTTGTTATCTGAAGAGAATAAATTTTAAATTCTCAGTTTATGTCTCAAATTCTAACGTATGAAAATATAAATATATAATATATAAAGTAACCAATCTTTCTGTATTTTATGTGCATCATAGTGATTTATCTGAGCTTAGTGACCCCATCTTGTAACCTGTTGCAAGAATGAATGTAAAAATAGTTGTGGCATTTTAACAGGTCACCTTTTGATGCAGATGTATCTTTTTCTTGCTTTGAAAACATATTTCATGTAAACATTGTACATTTATTATTGTAATATATACTATTATGCAGCTTATTTTACCTGGAACTGTTAAGCCGACCAAGATTCCTCCCTGCAAGACAGATGGAAATGTATATAATGAGAAGTTCTGAAGTTTGATGTAATCTGTTACTTGTCCTGTTTAAAAAAAAAAAAAAAAAAGAAGGAAAACATTCTAATTAAAAATTTACTAGGTTTTTTAAAAATGCGTGTCCACTTTAAAAAAACGTTTTAAAGTACGCTGTGTCTTTATTTATTTCTTTTTATCAGTCAAGCCTAGGTACCTTTGTTTTAAATCTCTCTTATTTGGGGATCTATGAATACATGTGTGATTATAAAACATAAAGACCCTAAACTTAATTATAATGTTTTTCAGCAGCCTGCTTTCTTTATGAAAAATGTCTTTATTCAACTTTCAAATGTTTGGATCAGAGTGGGAAAGAATGTAAATCAAATCGGCTTCATCCCTAAATACTATTTAGATCAGCTAAAGAGTTTTTCAAAGAAAGACTTTCTCTCTCAAAAGAAGAAATTTTATACATTCTGGCTCAAACTCTTATCCCATCACAAACTAGTAACAAACAGTTCTTAGACTTAGCTACTATGAGTAGAATTTATATTTGTTCATGTTTTAATCAAGTAAAAAGAAAACTTGATTTATAGTCATGTGCTAGACTTATGGATTGCTGGCAAATTTGGCACCATTATGTGTTAAGGATTAAAGATGAAAACCACTAGCCTAATCTTCAAGGGGGTCAACTGTAGAGGAAGAATATAGGATAAATAAGTAAAAAGATAAAAGTGGAAAATATGGTTGAGGGAGAAATAGGCAGAGGGAATTCTGCAAGTACAGAAAAGCACTGAATGCATCTTAATAGTGAAGATACCAGAACAGGAGAGGTAATAGCTAAGCTGTATTTTAACTTAGCTGATCATCTACTTAGCTGATCATCTTATTTAGTACAGATAAGAGCTCTCAGGGAGAGCTTCTGTTCTTGTCGTATGATCATAAAAAATGTTTGGGCCCTGTGTCACCTCAAGATCTGTATTCATACTTATTGGTATGTTGATTTTTTAGTATCTTGTGAATATCCTAGTGTGATATAGGCTTACATTTTCTTTATATTGTATTCATAGTTTGACCATTTGTGAGTTTTAAGTGAAAGTGTTTTCATGTGTCACATGCCCAGAACATTTCCATTAATAAGATTTACCTTCCAGTTCTCACTCCCTGTTCTTAGTGACATTAAATTATTATAGGTCACCTACATGGCTTCTTCACCCTTTTTTCCTAGACCTATCTTGGCAAGTCTCTTCTTCCAGATGGCTCACCAGAGGATGCTAAATCAAGGAGAATTTTGGCAGCCACTCTGGGAAGAATGCTCACGAAAAGGTATTTAACTAAGAATAATTAGGAACCAGAAGTTGTGATTTAAAGAATCTTCAGTGTCCATCGTGGATGCTGGTTCTCTTGGCTTTATGCCTCATTGAGGAAGGTTTATGGCTACAAAAGCTTTGCATACCTGAGAACCTCTACTAGGGACAGTAGGATAGATTCATTTTGTTAATCCTTAGGTTTTAATGCCAACAGAACCTGTGTACTTAGATTTACATTTTTCTTCCATGAGTAGACCTGTGTAATTTGCAAAGAGGATAATGTAAGCTTAGAGCATGTGAGAACAAAGACTGATGGGAAATGACACCCCCGCATTTGTAAACCATCACTAGTTATGGCTGAGTCATTAAGTTCATGGCAGTAAATTGAAATAGGAAAGATAGACAATGGTTGTGGCTCGGAAATCTGAAGTTTTGAAAAGTTTTACTTACCAAGTTTGGATATTGACTGTTAAAGATTGAGTGTAGGTAGGAAATTAAAGATGAGAATTTGTTGGGCTAAACATTACAAAAAGGATTTAAAGAATATTTAAGAGGTAAATGGGTATTGAGGGAGAAATTGGTGTCTAATTTTTTAGTGTAGGAAATTAAGGTACCAACCTTTGAAGAAGATACTGGACAGGGAAGACAGTAAATGTGGTTTTTGGATATTTTGAGTTTGAGATGCCTATAGAACATCCAGGTCATAGGTTTCTAGAGTTATTCAATGTCTCATTTTCCTACAAATAGAAAAATTTCCAATCAGTATTGAAGAATCATGGAAAATGACAGAATATCATGTAAGTTAATAGTTCTATTTTTGGAGTAGAGAGATTCTCAAAGATAGTCCTTCTTGACCTTCCTCCAATAACATCCTGTAATAGAAAATCAACTTAGAAATACTTGATGTGTATTTAGATTTTATAAAATCTATAGTTGAAACAGTTCTCAAATAACTTGAAATAATTTTAAAAATTTAATTCAAATTAAATCAAATGGAAACTTCAGTCCTTTAGCTCTTCTAGCCAAAGTTTACCCAATAGCTATATATGTATCCAGTGGTTATGGTATTGACTATGCTTGTCTCAAGCAACCTATACCTTTCTAGCCAAGCCCAGTTCTTACTCAGCTACCTGTTCCAGCTTGAACTTTCCTTTCTAATATATACCTAACTTCTATTTGATTCTATCGTTACTGATCATTCTCCTAACTTGCCTCCTTCACTTAATTTTCTCCAGACACATTGGTTTTCTTTGTGTCCTTCCAATGTATTTCCCATATTATACTTGCTGATCTCTGTGCTTGGAACACTGTTCCTTTGGGTCATCTGTCTTTATATGACCTGTCCCTTATTCATCTTGTCATGGAGCATTTCTCTGACCTCGTAAAGTATCTCATTTTATTTTTCTTAATGTAGCTTATTATTATCTAGAAGTATACTATTTGTGTTTATTACCTGTTTCCCTTGCTACAGTGTAATTCCCATAGCAGTAGGGGTGCTTATTTGTGTTGGTTACTTGATTTTTAAGGCCTAGAGTAGTGCCTCTATTAAATTAGGTGCTCATTATATGTTTACTGAGTCAACCCTAAAACACATTTTTAAAATGTTATTCTGGGTCAAAAATAAGTTTGCATTTGATTCTGGGGAGTTCAGCAAACTTCTGATGATCTTATTCCTCTTTGCATACTGCTTTAACAGGATCTCATAGCTTTCTGATGTGTTGTCATTTGCATTTAGTTCAGAATGCTCTGTGTTCACTTGATTTCTTCTTTGTCTCATAGGTTATTTAGGAATGTTAGTTTTTTAATACTTAAGATTTTCTTGATAACTTTTTGCTTTTTGGCTTCTAATTTTATTCCACTGGAGTCCATTGTATGACTTGAATGTTTTGAGACTTACTTTATGGCCCACAACATGATCCTTCTTGGTAAAAATTCTATGTATACTCAAAAGAAAAAAAACTTTTCTGCTGTTTGTAGGTAGACTATTCTCTAAATGTAAATTAGATAAAGTTAGTTGATGATATTTAAATCTGTATCCTTACTAATTTTCTAAGTCCTTGATTATTATTGACAGAAGGGTATTGAAATCCTTATAACTAGGGATTATCTATTCTTGCATTTCTGCCAGGTTTTACTTCAAGTGTTTTGACATGTAAGGCTTATTATATTCTCTTGATATTTTGATCCTTTTGTCTTCATACAAATGGTCTTTATCCCTAATGATATTCTTTAGTCTGAAATGTACTTTGTCTGATATTAGTATAGCCACTCCAGCTTTGTTTTGATTAGTGATAGGATGTCATGTCTCCCCCTCGCTTTAAAATCTTTTATTTTTTAACCTATATTTGTTTTTATATTTAAAGTGTGTTTTTTCGGTCAGGTGTGGTCTTATGGTACATTTTATCTGATAAAAATATAGCTATTCAGATTCTCTTAGTTTTCATTTGCATGGAATATCTTTTTTCATCCTTTCACTTTAATACATGTCTGTCTTAAAGATGAAATAAGTTTCTTATAGATAACATGTTGGGTCTTGTTTTTTCTATCCATTTAGCCAAGAACTGTCTTTTGATTGGAGAATTTAGTCCCTTTACATGCAGGGCATTAATAACATGTATTTAGTTGTACAAAACATTGAGTTTCATTATGAAATTTTTATTAATGTTCAAGGTAATAATGAACATTATTCTACTGCCACTTCATTGTTTTCTATATTTTTATAGATCTTTTTTCCTTTCCATTTGTTGACTTTGTGTTTAGATGACTCTCTTCACAATATGCTTTTTTTTTTTCGTTTACTCTAGGTTTTTGCTTTGTTACCATGGGGTTCACATAAAACATCTTATATCTACAATAGGCTGTTTTAAGCTGGTAGCAACTTAATTTTGGTTGCATAAAAAAACAGCACTTTTTATTATACTAGATTGTTTCTTTTTTATGTAACAGTTTGCATCTTATGTTGTATATCTAATCAAATTATTGTGGC